TCATGTTAGCAAAGTTTTTCCTTTTTTTAAACCAACAGATCTTGGTTAAACAGCTCTCCTGCATGGAGAAGTGTTTGAGCCCTACAAATTTATTATGGCTATTTTTATCTGCTGACCTTGAATAAAGACAAGGAATTCCTGGGGCAGAAAAGCAAAAGTCTAGGAAGAACTATAGACAATGCTCTTAAGAGCTAATAAATCTTTCAGCTCCTAAGAGCATTGTCTATAATTTTTCCTAGAGTTTTGTTTTTCTGCCATGCATTCTTAGTAAATGCCTTTGCTAACAGCCAATTGTATCTGCAAGCTAATTTATGGGAAGCACACTTTGTGGAAGCTTATGAGTTGTAGGAGTATGCACCCACAGAATTACTCTCACAACTCAATGTAGCATTTATCCTTTTGGGGACACAATCTATGAGGGCAAGTTAGGAGAGTAGCCCAGAGACAATGTTAAATGTAAGCTTGTAAAAGGCTTTAAAATTACAACACAGAAAACCAACTATTTTATCCTACAGGTAATAAAGAACCACTGGAGTTTATTCAGCAAGGAAGTACCATAGACCTAGGCTTTAGAAATATCACTTTGGCAGCTTGGGTGTAAGTAAGATCAAAGGGGAGAGACTTAAGGCAGGAAGACCAAATAGGCTGCTATTTCAGGAGTTGAGGTATTAAAGGCTTACCCTAGAGTACCGGTTATGTGAGTGGAGAGAAGAGGACAGATTTGAGAGCTATTGTAGAGTTAGAAACGAGATTTGGCAATTGCTTTAATATATAGTAGTAATATGTAGTGAGGTGTCAAGAATGAAACCAAGGTTGTAAACCTGGGTTTTTGGAAAGATGGGGGTGCCCTCTACTTAGAGGTAAATGTGAAAGAGTGGTGGGTTTGGAGCAAAAGACAGTGAGATGTGGTGCTGATTGAAACTCATCCATGCCTGTTCAATCCTATGAGACTGGAAATAGAAATGAAAGGACAGCTGGGCTTTTACTGGCCACTGCTTTAGAGCCTGGGGCCTTCTAAGATGTGTTTGCCAAAAGGTGATCTGGGGAGGTTGGGGGTGGGTATACTGGGGGAGGGAGGAGTATCCTGAATATCTGTGCACCTATTATGGGTGCCAGGGTCATGTTTGGGTCAAAACTGTCTTGAGCAGTGACAGAAACTACTTATTAAATGATGCTTACAAACAACCTAATATACCTTAAATCTCTGCCAATTCAGGACACTAAAAATTCTGCTCTTCCCAGGAACTTTCCTGAACTGACATTGATACCTACCTGATAAAGTTTCCAAGCTAAAAATCATAAAGATGACTATGTTTAGATTTGTCTTTTCTTCCTTTATAGTACCAAGAACAGCAACTTTATGATGTCATAGGTCCACTGAACCCCACTGTCCCTGTTTTCCTAGCTTTTAATTATAATTACCATTGAGTTATAATTATCATATTATAATAGTGCTCACTAATACCCCCTACCAGTTTCTCACTGCCATTACTCCTATAACCTGAGGTCCTATCACCCAGCTTATACTGTGGGACAGCCCCAGAATTTTTTCCCTCCCCCCTGATAGCAGCACACAAATTTAAGCATCCAAGAGGTGACCATTAAGCACTACAGGGTAACCTATAAGTTCATGAAAAGAAAGAAGAAAGGAATTGTAATAAAAACACAGGTAATTATGCCTCACTTTTAATTTCCCTTTCTTGTTCCAGTTCTAATTTTTGGAGGCTGTGGATGTAGGAGCTTTGACTTTATTGTCTTCTTCTGGTTGTATGTTTTGATCTTCTTTGTTACCAAAAAAAGATTCTATGGTCTGACACTTCTTGTGAGGTTTGCTCATGATCCCAGTCAATTACTTGAGTTATAAACTCTTTATTATGGTAGAGGTCTGCTTCCAATGTGGAGAATGCACTGTCCCAAGCTTCAGGGGGGTTTGTGCAGCTGTTTCCAGAGATGCTTCTGGGGACCTGTAAATTCTGTTCTTCCAAGGTGGTATGATAAGGGACGAGGTGTTTCTTCTCCACCGCCACTACAAGCTTCACCATGTCAGCACTCCTCTCGCCCCAGGACCGCCCCTCAGAACTGTGTGACCCAGATCCAAGCACGGGCAAAGCAAGAGATTCCTGCCTCAGCACTGGCAAAGAGATCCCTGCAATCCTCCTCTGATCAGCCACTCAATTCCCCCTCAGTCTGTAGGCCAGAAGCTCAAGAGGCAGCCGCCACCCCAGGGCAGTGCTTGGGAACTGGGGCTTAGCTTCTCTCTCACCGCAGAAACAGACTTTTCCCACTGACCTTCTAAGTTGTCGTTGGCATTCGTGGGGTGAGAAGTCTGGAAACTGCCACAGCCACCCTCGCTTCAGTCCTCTGAGGCCTGCTCTAGCTTCGCTGTGGCTTGCTCGCCCATGCCAAACTGTGCTCCTGTCCCAGCTTGGTGCGGTACACCTTTCTGATCAACCGTCCAGGTTGTCTTGGGCTGGAAATTTGTTTCACTCTGTCTTTTTGTGGGTTCTGCTGCTTTAGAATTTGTTTAGAGTCATTTTTTTAGGTATTTGGAAGGGTTGGGGGGAGAGCTCAAGCAAGTCACTGCTTTCACTCTGCCATCTTGGCTCCTCCCCACTCCAGTTCTAGTTCTTAACTTCCAAAGGAGAATCTTGTCTGGACTGGATTCTTGGTCTACTCCTACAGTGCCTAGCATAGAGTAGGTGCTATATAAATGCTTATTCTCTTTCTCTTCTTCTAGCTGACAGGTTCACTTTGGTAAGACCAGTAAGCATTTTTCCTTCTAGAACCTGTTTCCCCAGTTGTGATGAAAGGTCACCCCTTTTGCCCCACAAAGAAGTGCTATTGGGTTTTAGCTTATAAGAAGTTCAGATGTCTCCATTTTAGAATTCCCAATTTAGGGACCGAAAAATCCAAACCTTGCCCTGAGACTAAGAAAAACTATTCTGTTTGGCTTCCAAATTATACTCCCTGATCTTCACTATCACAGAGACTTGTCATCTGGTCCCTAGAAGCTTGCTTGCTTTGGCTGTATCCAACTAATATCTATCCCCTTTTACCAAAGCATGCAAATACAGCAATACTATGTTAGAGCTGGAAGAGACAGACCATCTAGTCCATTCTCCTTCCCTTTTACAGATTGAGAGATTCAGAAGTAAATGACTTGCCAGTCACACAAACTAATAAACAACTGACCTAGAACTAGATCCAAAGTCTTGATTTCAAGTCTATAATTAAAAAAAAAAAAGCTTACAAAGCTATTACTTCAAAGGTAAAATACCAAATAGACAGCCACAGCCCTTCCCCCCCCAAAAAAACTTTAAGGTGTAACCCTCCTCTCTCCTTGGGTAGGGCATCAAGGGGCAGGGAGGGGATTTAGTGCATAGTTTAGCTCAGTTCCTATAAAGCACAGTCTTAAATTCTAGGTCTAAAATCCCTAGGGACCAAGTCCTGGTACCCTGGCTTTTCAAGGTTTTTCCTGCTGAGCTAGCTGTCTGAACCATCCTACCTGCCATCTTGGCTTCAAGTTTACCATGACTTGAACACCCAGCACCTGAAACAGAGATAGACAAACACAGAAGATCATTTGTTGGAGCTGGGACAAAAGAGGGGAGGGGGAAGGTGTCCCACCTTCATATGGTCCATGCTGTGGGGGAACTATGACCTTCATCCCCTGGAAGCAGCCAGAAGGAATGTGGAGGTGGTAGAAAGCCAAGTCAATAATTCTTTACACTATATCACATGTCCAGCCCAGCTTGTTCAGAACAGATTCTCAAAACAGATTAATTGCTGACTCTACCCTTATGGTGATATTGCCTCTGCTGCTGGGTGCCTTGAAAAGGTGGCCTAAGTTACTAAAGATTCTGGAAGTTTTATTTCTTTTCTAGCCAGAAAAGAGAAAAGCATTCTGGGATCTGGATTTGGACAGTTTTCTGCTTCAGTGACAATTCTTAAATCTCTCAGGAAAGGGAAAAGGGATGAATTAGAGAGGAAAGGGACCAGCTGAAGAGGCAACTTTAAGCCCCATAGCACATGGGGCTGCCCAGTTTTGGATAGAGAGAGGGAAAACTGCTGGAACAATGAGGAATTACACTCATTCTCTCTTCTGTTTTGTTGCCTCCTGATAGTAGCACATTTAAGTGTCTCTCTGCCATTTTACATTTTTTTGCTAGTAGTTTGCATTTTTTTTTTAAAACAGATTACCTGACAAAAATAATTGTGTCCTGAGTTGGGATTGTTATACTTTGATTGAGGTGGAGAAAGGAACTTTTGGATAATTGGTTATATGAAGTTCAATTGGCTGGAGATTGTTCCCTTAATTTGGCAATCAACCTATCACCTTAGGGCTGAGAGTATTTTACGAGTTATTCAGAATTTGTAGTTTAAGCTTTCTAGCTCTGCTGAAAAGGGAAGTCACATAGAACTAAAACTCTCAAGAACTAATCTCATTATCTCCAAAACAAACCGGTCACTTTGCACCACGGGCCTCTGGATTTTCTCCATCCTGTTGCTCCTCCTGCTTCAAGGGAGGAGGAGTGGTGGTAGAGAACAAGGAAATTCATGGTCTTGAATAAGCCCCCAGTGGGTGGGAAAAAAAATCACATGACGTTCCAGACATTGTGCTAAGCACTTTACAATTATTATCTCATTTGATCCTTCCTCCAATCCCGGGAGGTAGGTTCTGTTATCCTCATTTTACAGAGAAGGAAACTAAGGTAAATAGGGGTTGTGACCTGCCCAGGGTCACACAGCTATTGAGGGTCTGAGGTCATATGTGAATTTGGGTCTTCCTGACTCCAGGCCCTGCATGCTATCACCAGCTGCCCCAAATCTATGATCTGTGATCTCCTGTTTTGCATTTAAATAACCCACAAAGGCTGAATAAATTAATTTTCAATGCAACTTTATTATCATAATCTGAAAAGTATTTATAGCTATTAACTATAAACTAGCACAAGACTGCTTGGCAGGAATTTGGAAATAGCCCAATTCCATAACACAATTCAAGATGATTTTTGTTCAGGGAGTTTCACCACCTCTGATAAGGGATATTCAGAGGAGGAAAGGGGTCCTACAATCCAACTAGAAGGAATACTATCTTCTAAGAAACAATACAATTTTTCTATGCTTCCCTGGGCTTGAGTCAACTTAAACTGGCTCTGGGTCAGATAATGCTTGTCTAGATCTTCAAACCCACCACATAGGGAAAAGGTGATATGGAGCTCCTGTATGTCATAACAGGCCTGTTGGAGTTTGTCTTGTAGGCTGCTTGGGAGACCTTGGACTTTAGGCATGAGGTCCATGAAGGCCAAGTGTAATTTCAGGGAAATGCTACGGAACAAATCCAGAGTCAGGGCTTCCAGGAGCTGCAAGAAAAAGGGAGGACAGAAAGAGCTTAGTAAGTATGCAGTTGCTGCTCATTCTAGAAGAAATTCTAGATTCCTGAAAAAGGTCTAATTATTAATGTCCTTAGCCTTCTATCACCTCTTCTTTGATTGCTTTTGTGTAGATTTAGATTATACATACATACATATATATGTATATATATACATATATACACACACACACACACACACACACGTATATTACATAAATAACCAGTAGGCAATGGGAAATAGCTAACATTTTTTTTTTAAATCCTGGATTGGGAGTTAAGACTCCATTCAAACTCCTACTCTCCCTTACTTACTCCCTATGGGACTATGGGGAAGATGCTTTGTATTTGTATTTGTATTTCAATCCTCATCTGCAAAATAAATTAGATGAATTCTAAAGTTTTTGCCAATTATAAAAACTTCCTTAGGCTACCCTTTCCTGTTAATAGTTAATAGTACCATCTTCTTCTAATCACTTAGGTTCAAAAGTCATCTTTGGATAGGGGGTGGGAATTACATCAAGAAAAAAATATCAGTTGTCAAGGTCTATTGACTGAAAGGATCTCTCTACTTTCCCGCTTCAGTACTTTGTCAGCTAGACTATTTCAATACAGCATCCTCCCCACAACTGATTTTTTCTTATTATTTTCTTATTCCAGTCTTTCCTTTACAGCAAGGCCAAATCTTTTTTTTGGTGGGGGGGTAGGGAGAGGAGGCAATTGGTCTTGACCAGGGTCACATAGCTAATGTCTGAGGGCAGATTTGAACTTGGGTCTTGACTCCAGGGCAAGTGCTCTATCCACTGTGCCACCTAGCTGCCCCTCTCAGGCATCTTAATGTACTGTTCTGATCTGTAGCTAGAACTAGCATGATGTTATGAGTACCAGGCCCCAGATGTTGACTTCCTACTCCCCCCCTCCTAGTACCAGCCACCTGTTTGCTATCTTCCTCATTTGCTTTGGGCTGTTTCCGAGGGTCCTGTGGAGGTTAGGCCCTTCTCTTGAGGCATTTTCTTCCTGCCTCTCTCATATGAGCCACCTGGCCTGGGGAATCTGCTTGTGCAGGATCAGCAAAGATGATTTATATCTGGGATACCTCTATAATAAACTCAGTTCTAAGTTTATCTGTCCCCATCTTCCGCTGTTCCTCCTGGGGGTCTTTTTTATAGTTTTGGAGGAAGATCACATAACTTGGGAGTCACAAGACCCAAGTTTCAATCCTGGCTCCTCTTGGAGCTTGGAAAGTTCAAACTTCCTAAGTCCCTTGTTTCTTCCTTTGCTAGGAAAAAGGGATGCCTCCAAGACTCCTTTCAGCTCTTATCTATGACCTTTTGATTCTAGGTCTTTTTCCTTATATTCCTTTGGCATGTTCTGGTAATTCATGAAATCTAGCTTTCTCCTGAAGCTACATACCTTGATGCCTACTCCAAGGCTGACTGCTCCTCCTCTCAAACACCCAATACAGGGTCAGGAAGACCTGGGATATTACTTCTTTGTTCTTTCTGCTGCAACAACTACAACTCAGCAAGCAGTCTGTCTTTTGTAGTTCACTCCTTCTATCTAGTTACTTGTCGTTTGTCATCCCTGGAGCTCTAGCTCATCTTCCTCCTCCCCAAGTAAGATTAGTTGCCTCAGTCTTACCCCAGTCTCTGCTTCCTTCAAATACCCTGGACTTTCTAGAGTCCAGATTCATATGACCATTGTCACCTAGCTACACCAGACTAAGGTTGATTTTTATACTTATTTCTTCTGCATATTAAGGAGTGGTCACGCCTATATCAGATTGTGCGCAGACTTGGGGAGGGAGGGGGAGAAAAAATTTTAAACTCAAAAGCATATGGAAGTGATTGTTGATAAGTCAAAATAAATTAATTAAAAATAAAAAAAGGAGTGGTCACTTAGATACAGCTTCTTACACAGTAGAACAGGAGACAAAAACAAAATACCTGACAAGTTTCCCAAGAGCCTTGATAGTCTTATCCCTAGAATCCTTTTCCTTATTTCCAACCTGATATTCTCCCTAGTTTCCCCTGTCATCCCCCAAAAGGCGAGAAGGCAAGACAATCTTCCTCCAGAGGCACATTTTAAAAGCTAACTTTCTGACACCAAGTTACAAAATAGCTCCCACCAGATTAGAAGTCATAATCCAGCTGCCCGGATGATACTGAAAAATCTCAGTACCTTTCAAATCACTATGCTGAGGATAACTTTCTTTCCCCTTTTACCCTTAATTTACCTTTTTCAGGTCTAGTAGAAATCTCTATCCTCCACAAAATCTTCCCCAATTCATCTTAAAATTTCTTTTTTTATATTTTTGCTATTTTATTTTCACATACTACACTGAGTACCTATGAAGGCTACAGAAGCCATGAATACCCATCAAGTAAATCATAGGTATGCCTACAAAGATACACTATTGTCTATTGATATTTCAGATAGAAAGTTCACTAGAGATTCTGAAGGATCCAAAGTCAGCTAGGATAGCTAATGCACAAGTAATTGGCAGCTAAAGTGCTATTAAGAGTGTTGAGGTCTCAGAATTATGAGTTTACCTTGAACTCTAAGAGCATGGTGCCATTTTCTTTTCTTAGTCTATGATTTGTTGGACCCAATTGACCCTAATTAGGATAGTAAGTCAGACCCATGGTCTATACAGGTGTCTTAAGCTCTCGAGTTTTATAGAATATCCTTTTAAAAGGTACTATAATCCAAGACTTCCTGAAGATAAGGGCTTTTAACATGTTTAATCTGTTAGGAACATACCATATTGTCTACCAGTTCATCTTACCCTATTCTCATTACCTCCATTAAAAATACATTGGCTTCAGGCCTTACCTAGTAGCCAGCACCATTCTTCTAGTTACCCTCAGTTTTCAAGCTTGCTATTATCCCTGCTTCCTCATTCTCCCCCCTCCCACCTCCATATTCAGTTGTACAGTCTTATCAATTCCACATCTTCCACCTTTTCTCTTCTTTCTACTCATATGGCTCCCATCCTGGTTCAGACCCTTGTGGCCTTATCCAGACCATCATTAGAGCCTCTCATTTAGATTCCTGGCCTGTCATCTATCTTTTTCTCTGATCATTTTCCACAATGAAACCAAAGTAATCTTCCTAAAGCAGAAGCCTATCATACCCTTACTCGGGAACTTTGCATGGTTTCCTCTCACCTCCAGGATTTTTTACAATTCATTTTCTATTTACTTTTCTAGGTATATTTTACTTTCCCTTTCCCCTTTAATATATTCAGTTCCAGCCAAGCTCCCTACTTTCTGTTCCCCCAAACTTGGGATTCCTACTTTCAAATAAAATAGATCACTTATATGCCTAGGACATACTTTTATCCCTATGTCATGAAAATCCCTGCTTGACTTTAAGGTTTAGTTCTTGTATTATTCTCCTATGTAGACCTTTCCTCATCCCCCACTTGTAATTTCTCACCATCCTCCAATGTTTATATAGTAAAGTACTCCTAGTTGAATGCTCCTTGAAGCTTGAGGCAATGGGACATTTCTAATACATAGGAGCAAAACTAAACAAATATTCATGAGGCTACCTGATATCCAAAACACACCAGTTTGACATTAATGTTCCATGTGTCTGTAAGTCCGATACCTGTGTATCATCCACATTTTTGGACAAGCTCCTACTCCAGTCGATCCACAGATTAAATAGGGCCTTATGGTAATTCTGCCGATCCTTGCTTTGACAAGTCTGGTGGAACAAAGTTTGAAGTTTGAAGATACAGGTCTGCCTTATGATGGTGTTCATCAGAGTTGAAGTATGCTGGATTTAATCAAGGAGTCAGAAGTTTATAATTCCTTCCCTGGAGGCCATATTCTTATACACGCCATAAAAAGATAATCGCCATAACAGAATGGCTACATGGCTAAGTGGAATCTAGAAGTAAGCTTGCTTCTACCACTTTAACATTCCTCCATCACCCACATACACAACCACCCTTACACCTCCTGGTCTACCTTGCTGCTTCTAGCAAGGTAAAGACCTAGCAGTGGGGCTTAACGAATAAGGTCAATATCCATCAAAGCTTATACAATCTTGGGCAGCATCGAAAGGCAATGTCCCCAGTGTAGGGCATAAACTCTGACCAGAGCTTAATGTTTCTAACATGATCAGTTCTGAGCATTATATTTTAAGAACATCATTGAGATGTAGTAGAGAGCAAAGGAACAGTCAGAATATTGAGAGGCCTTGAGATCATGTCAGATGAACAGACAATGTTTAGTCTAGAGAAAGGAAGACTTTAAGGCAGGGTGATAATACGATAGCTATCTTCAAGTACTTCAATGAGCTAAGGTGAACACGAGGTTAGAGTTTTTTGTTTGTTTTTCCATTGCTCCTAGGAGGAGGAATGAGGGAGGGTGGGGAACATAGAGGCAAACATATAGCCAAAGGTAGATTTAGGTTACACATAAGGGAATTTTGTGTAGGGAGCGACTGGGGACAACTTACCGATATTGAAAGTACCCTGATAATGGGCTGCCTAGAGAAATTAATGAATGAATTCTTCTTTACTAGGGCATTAAACAGAAGTTGGGTGACTGCTTGTCAAATGATTGCTGTATAGAGAGGGAATAGACGGCTCTACGTGACTTTTTATGCTAGATGGCCTCTGAGGTCCCTTCCTACTTGGAGTCTGTTAGGAAGGAACTGGTTGGGTTCAGAAGTAGTTTAGAGCATAGAAAATCCTACCAATTCAATTGCTTCATAGAGCTGGTATGAGAGTTTTCTGATGTTGTTCTTGGCACCTCTGATATTTTCCAGAACATTCTTCTTTGCCTGGAGGTTGCTCGGCAGAGAAGCTAATGACGTGAAATAGTCTTCGCCTCTTGAAGACTCATCTCTAAAATAATCTCTGTCTTCCTCTGAAGATTCTTGGATATTAGCTATATTGAATTTTTAAAAAAGCATTAATTCTACTAGAATAACACTTAAATTAATAGACGTTTACTAAGTACCTACTACGTGCCAGGCACTGTATTAAGGGCTGGGGGTACAAGAGGCAGCAAGACATAGTCCCTCCCCTCATGGATCTTACCATCTAGTGGGGGAGACAGCATGCAAATATATGCAAAGTAAGCTATATGCAGGGTAAATAGGACATAATTAACAAAGGGAAGGTACAATAGAATTAAGAGGGGTTAAGGACCAATAGTGAGTCCATCTTAGGGACCTTGACAATCCATAGGACATTCCCTTTGCTTCTGTTATGAGGAAAGCTACATGACCAAATCCACGAGGACATCCAGTTTTCCTTAAACCAAGGCATTGGCACTAGAATCAAATCAGCATCAGATTCTTATTCAAGGATGCATATGTGACCGCTATAAGACTGTTGTACTCTTAAAGATAAACTTATATGCAAGTGATTAGTATTTATATTTTTATTTAAAGGAAGCTTTATATTTAAAGGAAATTAGATGACTGAGTCATAGGGTACATCAGGAGCACTCTAATCAGGAATTAGCCAGACTATTTTACATTCAAATGCAAAACTGAATAAAGGGGAAGACTAGAGGAGTTATATCTAGCTTGACAGTTACTGACCCACATCAGGTAAGATTGGGAGGGATTCGTCCATATGAAGTTTTAATTCTTCTAGTGTTTGTTTCTCCTCTTGAATTTCAGACAATATTTTCTGCCCATCAGACACAGATCTTGTGGAAACAGCACTGATGCTTGTGGCATCTTCCTTGCTTGAGTCACCACTACTGGCATTCATTAATGAACCTGTTTCTTTGGATAGTTGAACTTTGTCAAATATGATCTCTTTAGATAAATGTAGTTCCTAGAAAGAGTAACAAAAATTTATAATGTCTTAGGCTTTTAACATGCTTTGTTTTGGTACCATTCTGCTATTTAGCTTTTTCGTATCCCCAGATATGTACTACTACATACTGTGTTTCAACCAAACTACATTTTTGGATCTACTAGATTACCTGTTTCATTATCTCAACTTTCCTGATGCTTGTGACCATAACTATGTGGGGAAATCTAATATATCTTAAAGGTTAGAAAGGCCTTCCTAGAATTTATAGGAATTGAAAAGTGCTGAACAAGATCCTGAATAGAGGTCAGGAAATGTTTCCATCTTCATATTTCTGGCAGTGATCTTTCTATATAGTAGGCACTTATGTTAACTTTTTTTTGAGCTTTAATTAGACAAGGGAGACAAGAAAAGGATCTAGTTTACCTTATAAATATTTAGCCATTTCAAGTTTCTTCTAGTAATTTCAGGGTCCCCTCTTATCTAACACTAGAATTTGTGTTCACATGTGCATTTTGTTTGTATTTTAATGTTTGTTAACATGAAGGCTCAAGGTTAAGTGACAAAAAAAAAAGTTGGAAGGGGAATTTCTTTCGAACTACCAATTTAGAGAATGAAGGAGTAGAGGCATATATGGTTCTGAGAGAAGAAAACTAGATAAGAATTCAATTATAGACAAACAAACAAAAGTTCAAGTTAAACTAAGTATGGGAGTAGTTAGATGCTAGCCAAAAAGGACAGAAACCAAGGGAAACCTGTAATTATGAAAACATGGGTTTGGTAGCAGTGGTAAAGAAACATGGTATTCAGGGGGAGAAAGAAAAATAGGTTTGGGATTTGGGGGAGTTCAGGAGGCTCCACATAAGGGTGGCAGCTTAGGGTTCAAGGCTCACTAAGTTTCTTGTGACAACTCCTTGTAGCAATGGGGTTTGAGTATGTCCTGATGTATGAAGCTGATAAAGGGGCAAGGGCAAGGCACTACAGTCCTTTTGAAGGAATCCTCCCATCTTTGATGGAAAGAAGCTACCTGGTCCTTCCCATGATCTTGATGTTGCCTTTGCTTGTACTTTATTACCTTCCTTATAGATGCAGCTGGGGGGCTCTAGGCCTGGAGTCAGAAGACTGGAGCCCAAATCTTACCTCAGATATTAACTGAATTTGTGATTCTGGGCAAGTCATAACCTCTGCCTGCCTCGGTTTCCTCAACTGTAAAATGAGGATGGAAAAAAAATAGCACCTACCTCACAGGTTTGTGAGGATCAAATGAGGTATTATTTGTAAAACACCTGGCACATAGTTGGTGCTTAATAAATGCTAATTCCATTCCTTTCTCTGCCCCTCCCCAAAACTGATTTGAATGTTGTAGTCAGTTACTACTGAGGAGAGGGTATGGACTTTCCTTTGTAATAGATGAAGAAAACTTGATATTTTGCTTACATTACCCAGATTTACCTTGCTGATAAGGTTTCTTTTTAATTAATCAAATGTTTCCTCTGTTGATAGTGGCTCACTCTCTAGATTTTATACCAAGTTTATTGTTTTTATCTGTTAGCTTTGTTATTTATCTATTCTTTTTTATATAATCTTCTCACAGGCTCTTTACTCTGCTGTCTTCGGTTTTCCACCTTTGATTAGTGTAGATACCACTAATATACTCAAATTGGTTCCTCTTCAAATACTTAATTTAAAAAAAAAAAAGAAATTTGTGTAGAACTCTTCTTCAGTCTACTAGGGTTACCTATGACCACAATCTCTTGAATTCAGCCATGAATTTAAAAAGGAAATGATTTAAAAAGTTTAGAAGGGCTACATGCACTGCAAAGATTATAAAAAAGTCACTATGGACTGTATTCAATGCACCTAGGCTTTCTACTTACTTACTTCTTGTAATAAACTCATTACCAAGTCCTAATAGGATGCTATAAATTAAGACATTTTTGAAACATTAGACCCAGGACAGGATTGTTCTTATAGTAGAATCAGAATGAGCTCAGACTATTAGTAAAAATTGCCTCCTGTGGTACCTGTGGTACCTGTGGTCTGCTCATTCTCTCTTTGCTGATAGGCTCACTTGAAGCTTAAAATAAAAGCATTATTAGTTAAAAACTAGAAGGTATTGATAGGTATAGCTGCCAATAATGTAAACTAGTACCAGCAATGACAAGTCTTTGGGCCAAGAGCAATTAAACTACCACCTCTAATTTTTCCTTCTGCCTAAAATAAATAAATAAATAAATAAATAAAAATTCAAGGGAAATTTCTGTTTCACAAGAAATGACTACATTGAATTCAGAGGTTGATTACTCTAAAATGTTTACCATTAAGATGTTTAATAATTCTAACCTGTTTAGGTGATTTACAGGAATAACTCCATATTTAGGATTTCAGCTCAATGCTATTCTTTAAGGCATCTGCTCTTTCTACTAATTGGCACAAATACAAATACGTATTCTAAGATAGCATGCCATGATACAAAGGACATTGAATTTGGAGTCAAAAGAATTGGGCTCAAATCCAGATCCAAATACTATGGTCTACTCTCCAGCCTTAGGCTGACTACAAACATAATAAAAGGTCTTAAAGCCCCACTTCAGATGCTCGTGGTAACATCAGAACTTTGTAGATCATAATCATCTTCTTGGAAACAACACTACGCCAATATTGCCAACAAAAGGATATCTGACAATTTTATTTTATTATAACATATTTCTATTACCTAGGGCTTTACTTAGAGATTATTTCTACCATATTCCTGGGCAACAGGGCTATATCAACCTGGGGGTAGGGGGAAAAGACTTTGGTTTCCAACAATCCAAGAACTGTTTTGGCGGCCCAACTTTGGAAGTGATCAGAGCTCTCAACTAATTCTGCATCAGAGATGATATTCTAAAGTTACAGAGTATGATATTTTAATGTCACTTCATTCCTGGCCAACAAGAGGGAGTTTTGCTTGAATCAGTAGGCAAATGTTGTCAAATCTAAATTCAAGTTTTAACCATTAAATAGACTACTATTTTACTTGGTCAATTTAAAACATGCCAGCAACCAGGACTATTTCCTCTTTTAAGACGCTACTAAAGTGCATCAGGGTCACTTCCAATCAAAGTAATTTTCACTTACTTTTGTCATTGAGCCTCACCACAATCTGTTTTGCATCATTAAGTATATCAGAAATAGTCTTCTCCATCTGTGATGGGCTCGTTCTGGTTTCTGCAAGATGGAGAGTCTTTTTGGCAATAGTAGATATATGGTCCATGCAAGCCTTTGTGCCAGTAGTAGTGACATGACTAAATTTTTCTGGGCATTTTTCTCTTCCCATTCTAATCTAAAAGGAAAGTATGACTAATTACATGAATCTCAAAGAGATTTTACATTATATTGGATAGAAGTATTCCAGGGAATTCCATCTTAGCAGACATGTGGCCATGTATTATAATGGAAAGAACACCTGATTAGGAGATAGATTACCTGGGTTTGAGTTCAGCCACAGCTGTAACGTTGGGCAGGTACTTTTAACAACTTAGTTTGTTTCTAGGCGTTGCAGTGGATACAGCAACAGGCCCGGACTCAGAAAGACCCAAGTTCAAATCTGGCCTCAGATACTTAATACCTGTGTGACCCTGAGCAAGTCACCTAGCCCTGTTTGCCTCAGTTTCCTCATCTGTAAAATGAGCTGAAGAAGGAAATGACAAGCCACTCCAGTATCTTTGCCAAGAAACCCCAAAAGGGGTCACAGAGTCAGACATGACTGAAAAATGACTGCAGAACAAATTTGTTTCTTTATCTATAAGATGGGGGATAAATATTTGTACTATGTAGCACACAGGATCATTGAGGACCAAGTGAAATTAACATTTGAAGAACAAGCAAATTATCCAAGCTATCCAAAAGTGTGAACAAATGATCCAAACTTTTGGGTGCTGGCTGAAAAGATGGATGTGGGAAAGAAATCTGCCAGTATCTAAGAAGGTTATAATAAGAGTTACTGATCCCATATCCTTTGAGCCTTGTTCCTCCTTGCCAATATTTCCCCAGCCCTTTTATACTGCATTCACACATATGTATAACATTATTAGGTTATTTGAAAGCCAGAGGAAGAAAAGAGGGAAAGTTCATATGGACTTAGAAGGGTACGAGGAAACCTTTCCCCACTCCAAGTCCAAGAATTCTTCTACCTTGCCTAAAATAGCAATACAAAAAATGTTAACATGAGTTTATATATTAGTGCTATCTCCTTGTGATCTGAAGATGCAAATGGTCCTGAGAAATAGCATCTTACTTTCAAGTTTAAATCCTGGCTTAACTTTTTTTAAAAAGACTTTTTAGTAAGTAACTTAACTCTTTGGGCCTTAATTTTTCCTCATCTATAGATTAAGGGAATGAGACCAGATGCTCTAAAGTGCCATCAACTTCCAAGCCCTAAAATGCAATCAGCTGCCACCCCTGGTTAGTTCTTCACCCATTTCTTATATTCTGAATTTCAGCTTCACTCTGGTTCTAGTCTTTGCTTGGGCACACAATAAAAACCCTTCACTGAACAGTAAACACGCCATTTCAAATAACCTTAAAGGTTCTCTACCCAGCCATTTTAGGATAGCCACACACAGCTCTTATAGCCAAGGATGTTGGAAAAAGAGAGTAGTATTCCTGTGGAGGGGGGAACATCCCCACTGAATTAAAGGGCTAAACCATTCGGCACAGCATCTCTCATTCTCCCCACTTACCTAGTGACACTCTGAGAATACAGCCCCAAAAGCTACTTTGGCTTTCTCATCATATATAAACACTTTGGGGGGGAGGGGTGAGTGGGAAGTGAGCCTTTATCATTGGCAGATGTGAAGCAAATAAACAATCACCAGAGGAATTTCAAGTCCTGTGGCCAATGAAGGCTATGAGGTGGGTGGCAGAATTAGGAAAGAGTCAGTGACTTGAAAGGGGTTATATTAGTTGTCACAAGCTTCATAGCTTTTCTAATTTTTCAGCATATGTTTAAAAAAAACATTAATTTATCTTGATAGTTTATATAACCTTCTTCATAGGCCTAGCTGAATTATTGTATTACTGTATAAAAAATTGGAAATTTAAAAGATTTCTAAACGATTCTTGCTTTACAAACAGCCCTCTGGAGAATAGGGCTATTTCAATTTAATGTAGGTAAACAGATGGATTATAAGCTACAAGTTCATCCACTTACCAATTGTTTATTAGTTGCAATGCTGTGGGGACAGGGAGAGAAGAAAAAAGGAAGGATAATAAGGTCAAGAGGGATTTCATTAGGATTCATGATCCCTTCTTCCTTCTTTCCTTTCCTGTAAGGATCTGGTCAGTCGGGTGGTCAATCTGCTCTTACTAAGTTCTACCTGACAAAATGGTCTTCTCCATCTACATTGCTAACTAAAGCGATTTATACTGTCGTTCATGTGGTATGGCAAAAGTTGGTGTGGGAATAGCATTTCTGAGTAAATGTTGGTAGAAAAGTAAGTGAAATGAGAAAGGTTAAGGGAAACTAGGCTGGGGTGTGTGTGTGTGTGTGTGTTCAACTGTAGGAGACAACATGCTGTATATATATAAATAAGTCTACGCAGGATAGGCATAACATAATGTGGGGGGGGTGTTAGTTGCAACTGGGAGGGAAATTAAGAAAGGCCTAATGTTCAGGGAGGTGGTGGAACTGAGTGCTACTGGAGATTCTAAGGGGTGTAAATAAGTAGTGAGGGCATTCCAGGCTGGAGGGACTGCCAGCGAAAAGGCAGACAGGCATGCTATGGTGTAGGTGAGGAATCGTAAGGAGGATAACCTACCCGAAATGCTGAGTGTCTGAAGGGAGTAACATAATAAGTCTGGAAAGGTAGGCTGGAGCCAAGGAGTGAAGGGTTTTAAATACCAGACAAAGGAGTTTCTATTTGATACTATGGGTCATAGGAAGAAGCCACTAGAATTTACTGAATTGAGAAGTGACATGGTTAGACTCTGCTTTAGGAAAATCATTTTGGCAAATATGTGGAAGATTGGAGAGAGGAGAGACTGAAAGCTATGAGTTGAATTAGGATGCTCCTGCAATAGTACAGGTGAGAAGTGTTGAAGGCCTGAATTAGGGTTGTGGCAGTGCAGCTGGAGAGGAGGAAAGAGATGCAGCCTATGCAAAGATGGTAGCACCCACAGAGGAAATAAGAAAGTTCAGAAGTGCTGGGTTCTGGGGAAAGGATAATGAGTTCTGTTTTAAGGCATGTTGTGGTGCCTGTAGAATAATCAGTTTGGAATGTCCATTAGGCAGTTGGTGAAAACAGGATTGGAGCTCAGAAGGTAGGTAAGCAATAAATAATGCATAGATCTGGGAGTCATCATAGGATGATCATTAAACCTTTGGGAGTTGGTGAGGTGCACTGGTCTCTAGTTATATAATTCCCATTAATAGATAGATAGGAGGTAAAGTTTGGAACTTTGTCAAGATCATAAATGTTTATTGAAGAGAATACTTTGGCTAAGTGAGACTGGAATAATAAGATTTGACATTTATGTATGTATCACTTTGTGGCTTATAAATTGCTTCATATAAATTATCTCATGTGATCATCATAATAATTATGAAGTAGAGCAGTCTTTATTATGACCATTTTTAGAGATGAAGAAACAAACTCAGATGGGCAAAGTAACTTGCCTAGAGTAGTTTATTTATGACATATGAAGTAAGCTAGTTTCTCAGCAAGTCATTTAGAGCACTATCACGAGAGTTGACCAGTTATCTCGACTGTACTAGAATCTAAAACTAAGAGTTTTCATATAATGGTAATAATCACTTGACCTGCATGGAGCTGGACACAGTGGAGGGGAAAATACTCTCCAAAAGCCATCTATCAAGGTAAAAAAAGGGTGTGTGTATGAATGTGTGTGTGTACATATATATATATATGTACACACACACATACACATATATGCATATATTTAATATACACACATACGTATGCATGACATTCAGGCATTCAGTGGAAATCAATGTTCCTTTGTGACCTTAGAGAAGCTGCCTGAGAAAATGATCCTCCTGAGAATGCCTTATGTGCAGGTGTTGATATGTCTGAAAATTAGGGACTCCTGAACTAAGTGTGGCAGATTGATTTCAACTACTCAGATACGGAAATGGATCTGTGATCTCATCTATTCCAAAGCCTCCTCAAACAATTTTGATTATAACTTATCCAGGCCTATCCATCTTGTATTACTTTTGTCCATCTCCTCCCATAAGTTTGTCACAGATGGTCTACCCACTGTCCCAGAGACCTTTTTCACTTTCTCCTGACACTTCAGGGTCACGTCACCAGTAGATTTCTCTGGCTGCCCACCTGCTTATTTCCTTTTCTCTCACCCTGTGACAAGCCCGTGTCCTCTTTGTATCATATATTTCCTTTCGTTACTATTCTTCTTTGGGGTTCTTGATTAGTTACATGTGACAGTCTGCACATATCCACTATGAACCCTTTTGTCATCTGTGTGACATTCATTTTGGAGACAGCCATAGTCCCTGTCAGTGTCATAGTCCCATAGTCAGTAGGATGTTGGTATTGAAAAAGATGGACCTTACATGAACTGATGCAGAATGAAACGAGCAGGGGCAGCTAGATGGCGCAGTAATTAGAGCATTGGCCCTGGATTCAGGAAGACCTGAGTTCAAATCTGGCCTCAGATACTTGACACTTACTAGCTGTGTGACCCTGGGCAAGTCACTTCACCCCATTGCCTTGCAAATAAAAAAAAAATCCCAGAACCAGGAGAAGAAGATTGTACACAGTAATAGCCACACTGTGCGATGACTGATTTTAATAGACTTGGCTCTTCACAGCAACACGAGAATTTAAGACAACTCCAAAAGACTCATGATGGAAATTGCTATCCATAACCAGAGAAAGAAATATTGAGTCTGAATGCAGATGAAAGCATACTATTTGCTCTCCTTTTCCTTTGTTGTTTTGTTTTATTGCTTCATTCTCGTGGTTCCTCCCATTAGTTCTAATTGTTCTTTACATCACGGCTAATGGGAAAATATGCTTACTATGAATGTATATGTAGAGCCTATATCAGATTGTATGCCATTTTGGGGCATACAAACAGGCTTAGGCTAATCATGCTAGCCAATACCAGCCCCTCCACACTTCAGTGAAGCCCTGGGCAAACAGGCAGAGGCCTAGCCACGTGTGCTTCAGTGTAGCCACTGGGAAATGCAGAAAACACTCCACTGGCCTTAGTACGTACCAGACACCACAA